AATTCTTTCTTCTATATTTTTAGCAATAAGTGATGGGATGATCAAAATGAAGCGAAAGTTAAATTTTAACAAATTAATTATTACAATCAAAGGATGAAGGACTAAAGTAGAAGAAAGTTTGAAGGTAAAAAATGTAATTTACCAAGAATTTTAATATGACATTCTTTTCACCCTAAATTTTAATAGGACATTTATTAGATGACATAAGGGTAGGGTGAGCTTAAGTTGTTGCTTGAATTTAAATCTCATTTAAAGTTGGTTGATAACCAAAGCCAGGAGGGGGCATGAAAGAGACAAGACAACAATCCATAGCTTATCAATCTATTAAAGGAAAAAAAAAAAAACAAAAAACAAGAAGAAGAAGATAGAGTTTTGAAAAAGAGAAATGCAAAAAATAGCATTTAGGTTGTTGTTAGTGATGAAAATTTTATGTAAAAAATATATAAAAGTATATTGAAATGTTTAAAAATATTTTAAAATATGTAAAAAAAATATATTAAAATTATATAAATTTTCACATTTAATACTTCTTAGAACTATCATTATCTACACCTTGGGAAAAAAAGCAACAAATCATGACAATCCCATTTCAGTGGTACAAGTTGTGCAACTTTCTGTCAGTAGTGATGCATATCTTACTTGTGGGTGGTAGGGTCCATTGATGCCAATACTAATCACTTCCCTTAAATATTATTAATATGTGAGGATTATCATTATAAATATATAATATTGATTTATCAAACGTGACTTCTATATATATGTATTAATTAAATTGGGCCTAAGATTATAGTTGTGAGGTTAATTAGGCTGAATTAAGACTGGTTTTTGTAATTTTTTTGCAAACATTGATCTTATTATTAATTGGCATCCATTCTCAAATTAATTTTGTGTTTAGATATTATATTTGGGGGGAAAATTGTGAAAAGAAAAAAAAAAAGAGAGAGAGAGAAAAGAGAAGAAAAATGTGATAATATTTTTTCTTTTTCCTTGTCTCCAAACAACTCAACATTCAAACACAACCTCAAATAAAAGGTTCATTGACAATTATCCAATTTAAGCACTCAATGAGATGAACAAACAAAGGTCTACTTATACTTGGTAGTTGAGAACCTACTAAATATGAATGGGAAAATTACACTAACCTCCCTTGAAATATGCGAAAGGTATTGTCTACAATTTTTATATAACTATGAATAGTGCGAAATTTCAATGATAAATAAAGAAATATATATATAGTGTAAAAAATATGATATCATAATTTTTTTTATTCATATAACTAACAAAATATTGATAAAAATGAAATGAAATGTTATGTGAATTAAAATTTTAAAAACATTCATTAAAATTGTGAAATCTTTAGTAATTTCTCCAAATGTAATTTACCCAATATAAATTCACAAGATTAGAATTTGAAAGAGATCTTTATGTTCTAAAAGATTGTCATTCACTTTCAAAGATTTATTGATAAACAGTTGCATAATTTTAAGGCTTAATGAGGTTGATTTATCATCATTAACAATGACTTTTTGGAATAGAAAAAAAAAAAAAAAAAAATGAGGGCATGCATGGGCAAGTTGCTCCTATCATATCTAATGTGTCTCCCAACTAAAAATATCTCGAAGTGCTGGTCACCTACCTCACAAAAAGCCATCACAAAAACAACATTGATGTAATTACACAAAGGGGAGTTGTTTACTAATATAATTTAATACATTATGAGCATGTTTGATTGGGTAGATTAGAGCATGTGATTGAAATTATTAATTCGTGAGCCCAGTTATTCTATGTTTGCTTTAACATTTTGGTTTAGGATTATTAATTCAACGGATAATTAATCCTACAAATGTGTATGATTATTAGTAATGGGGTAGGGGTGAGATTATTAATCCAATGGATATTAATCCAATTGGATAGTGAATACCACACTAATTTAATAGGATTATTAATATTTCACTATTAGTCTTGTGAATCAAACACCACAGTTTAGCCAATCTTATTGTTGTATTTTAGTAAAACAGAAGAAAACATGTAAATGAATTTAAATGACTTGCGAAGTTAGTTATACTTCAATTATGATGAATACATTAGATTCATTTTTTTGATCTAATAACTAAAAGTGGCAATACGTATAATATGAACATTTTAAAAGATTGAATAATAGAATTTCTCAAACTTTTTACAGCCTAAAATGTCTCAAAAATTATACCAAGATTCAATGAATCAATTCATATACTGATGCATCAAAAGTACTATATCATCTTTTTATACTATCAAACCATAAAGAATTACAAAAAATTATTATTAATGTAACATTTTAATTAATATTTTTTTCTTTTAAAGTACAAAATAATTTAAAACATAAATTTTGTATTTAAATATGTTGATTTTAAATTTATGCCAACTGTTTATTAAAAAGATTAACTTTTAATGACGATTGCAAATAGTTTTTTTTTTGGGATCGGTTTTGCAAATAGTTGGTACCAAAGAATTTTTAATGTAAGTTAAACTTTATGAAGTTGAAAATTTTAATAAATTGGAAAAAGCATATCATGCAAATTAAATTGACCACATTAAAATATGAGGGACTAATGTGTAGATCATAACAGGTAGATTCATTGTCCAATAGATCCTATGATAATGAATAACGTTTTTTATCAAACACTATTAAAAAACGTCACTAATTATTAATTCTCAACGACAGTTTGAAAATTGTCATAAAAAATGTCACTAATTATAAGTTTTAGTGACAATTTAAAAAAAATAGTCACAAAAAAAAGTTGTTAATTTTCAGTTGTCAGCGACAATTTGAAAAAATCGTCATAGAAAAACGTCATTAATTATAAGTTTTAGCGACAATTTATAAAAACCGTGACAAAAAAAAGTCACTAATTGTCAATATTTTTGTTACATATGCAAAAATGTCACTAAAAATTATTTTTAGCGACCATTTTACTAGTACTTATTTTAAATAGGATTTGATAGAAATTAAATTCGACAATTTGGTTCTATTGGTAGTTTATCCTTAACATATTTACAAAAGAAATTAAAATTCAAAGCTTCCTTACCACATGTTAGAAACACATGTGATATACCTGAAAGGTGTTTACAAAAAAATAAAAAAATTGAAAACTTCGTGTCATCAAAAGAATGGTACCAGAAAATTTTTAAAAATAAAATTCAAAGGCATTAACCCAATCGATATGAGATGTGTATATTAAAGGCTTCAAGAATTTAAAGAAACTCATTATAGAATCCAAAATTTTTATTTTTTACTTTAGTTTTGAGAGAAGAAAGAAAAAAAAAAAAAAAAAGCAATCGTGATATTAGATAAATTTATAATCAATATTTTTATTTTTTACACTAATAATATGATCCATCTATATAATACAACAAATCAGTTTCATTTTTTTTTTTCTGACAATTTTTTTTTTTTTTGGTAGGGTCATGATTTCTAACGATAAAAAGATGGCAAATTAATGATAATTTGATGACCTATTTTTTTTTTCCCTCTATTATCAAAATTTAAATTATGGTTTTATTATTTAAATAAACATAATTAAAGGAAAATTTTAAAACTTGCCATATTGATCAATATTCGTAGTTTATGACTCTTTGACATGTGCATTTTTGCATTTTAAAAATTAAAAAATTTAAAATAATTTGAAACTTCCAAGCATAAGACCTCCTAACAAACGCGTTGTAATTTATAGTAGGCAGGATATAAAAAGAGTGTAGACAAGAAATTTATTAAAATTAGGAACTCCAAAAAAAGAAAAGTGCAAAAAGAAAATCATTAAAGAAGTGGTATCATTTGAAAGTTTGAAAGTATTATATATATATATATATATGTTTATTAAGTTATGTTTGTGTAATATAATATGACCCACATTAATAAATATGAGGGAGCCTATTGATTTTGTATCCAATTATAAGAAATTTAAAAAGAAAATTGTTTATAACACATTAACCATGTGTTTGGTTTCAATTTTTTTAAAATTAATTTTTTTATTTTTCGTGCTTATTTTGTTTTTAGTGAATATTTTAAACAAATTTTTTACTTTTTTAAATGCACCTTACTTAGATGGATCTAAATAGTAAAATATTTGTGAAAAAATATTTTAAAAAATGAATAAATACACAAAAATACAAAAAATGTACTGAATTTTCATATTTTTTTTTTATTTTTGATAATTAGTGAATTTTTTAATGAGTTTTTTCACAAATATTATATTTTTTAAATGTATTTATGTTAGGTATGTCTAAAAATTAAAAAAATTGTTTAAAATATTAAAAAAATTCATTCAAAACAAAAAAAATACAAAAAATAAAAAAGTAAAATTTTTTTAAAAATATTTTTTGAAAACCAAAACCAAACATTCTTCAATAACAAACTATTATGTGGTTATAACGAGATCCACCCGTCTCATATTGAGATTTATTATTAGACAGTGAAATTACGTATCAGTGAAAAGTTAGTATACTGAAGTTTTACTCCAACTTGACATTAAGACCCCGTTTGTTTTGGAGTGTAATGGATGGAATGGGATTAGAATGAAGGTGGAATTATTTAGTATTGTGTTTGTTTGTAGAGTTAGGGAAGGGATTAGGATGGAGGAAGGGATTAAGATGGAGGTTGGAAGGAAGATTAGGATAGAAGAAGTGGAGGTGGTATTAGAAAAATAGTAAGGGGATTAGAAATTTATTTTATTTATTTTTTATTTTTTACATATTGGGATTTTTTTTTTTGAACATTAATGTTTATTTTTTTTGTATTTTTTTATTTGTTTTATTATTTTATATAAAAATAATTTAATAATTTTTACACTAACAACTATCATCAAAACAAACACAATTTTACTTAATCCCTCACTATCAATCCCCTCACTATCAATCTCCTCTATTCTACTTCTGAAAACAATCGGGAAGCATATGCAGATTGAAATATATATACAAAGATGAATTTAAATCCTGTTACCAAGAACAATAAATAATTTCAATGATTTGAAGCTGGTAGAAACTTGTTTTTTGGCTTTCCATATATATCAAAGTATTTCACTTCAAAAATTACTTCAAACTTTCTAGTAGCTTGTGTACACACAAAAATTGAACCCAGAAGGTAAGAGTGTCAAAATGGGGGAACTAAAATCTAGTACAATAATACACACAACCAGATGAAAGATGCATAATATGTCTCATGATTCCTGAAAACCCCCCATGACCTTGAACACCCATATTTCACACAATAACATATATAGATATAGAAAACTCTTCAAAACCCTCATTCCTAACTTAATTCATGGTTGTGCTGCAAAATGAGCAACCGAAGTTAAAATCTATACATATTTGGTGGCCTAAGATGGTTACTGTAGAGGGAGAAGTGATCTGCTGGAGGCACACTTGAAGAGCGTTGTAATCCTTCATCAGTGGGCATCTGTGGCGTCAGGTCTGGATAGAAGGGATATGTAGAAGTGTATGCACTTGAAGAGGCTACATTTGGATCCTTGTTCAGATCATTATAGGTAAATCTACTGGAGAAAGGTAGACCTGTATCCAAACTAGGACCAAACAACGGCTTGTGAGAAGGAAATCTTGACCAAGTCTCCGGTGGCACCCAGCTCCTGTCCATGTGGAGGTTCATCGGGAAGGTGAGATGTATATCACTGGTAGAAACACTTGACCTGGACTCTGCAGGACTGGTGATTAATCGATCACCTGCAGTTGGGGCACTTCCAGTACCAGGATAGTAATTTGTCAAACTCAATTGAGAATTTGAACCCAGAACGTTAGTTTTAGTAGTTGGTTTGAAGTGAAAATCAGATGGCACTCTCAAAAGCCCTGCAAATCCAACTGGAACCCCAGGACTGTTCCCAACAGAAAATTCAATTGCTTTCCTAACCGACCCAGAATCTATGGATGGCAAGGTATTGAGTTTGTTTTTCAGCGATAACTTAGCATGATGTAGTGCCTCCAGCACAGAACCTAATTCATTGGGCGTTTCATGTTTTACCAACGCATAGCGATCATTATTGCTCCCCAAACTATCTTCTTTACATGAACTAGCATGAGAAGGGACAATTTGTGTCGACTGATTGCTAGCAGGACTCTCCGGATGTGAACCATGACAATAGCTATGTGATGGCGGAACATTGTAGTTTCCTGAATGGTGTTGATCTTGTTTCTCTGTAGCTACAGGGAATACAAAATGTGAAGTAGGGGATTCATAAGCAAGCATGTCTTGTGGAGGTGACTGAAAGCCATCAGATTGACTTTTGGACAGTTCTTTAATGACGGGAACATCTTCCACCGTCAACTTTTTGCCTTGGTCTGCCTTGGTCCCATCCCTTTCTTCTGTCACATCTGAGCGTTTTCCAGGTTCAAATGAATCCTAAATGGTTCATGAAAAAGATACTAATCAAGTTACAATCTAGCATGCATTCTGACAAAAAACACAAGTGAACAAATTCAAATACAAAGTCAATTTATGAAAAACCAGAGTAAAGTTAATGGCAGAAATAAAATAAAAAGCAACAAAAAAGTGCCTGGAGTCCTAAGACCAATCAATGATCCAAAAGGTTCATGCCTGCAACTCTTGAGTTAGGGTTTGAAGAGAACTTCTGAGATAGAAGCAAATTATGTTAAGTGTACATTTCAATCATTTTGTTCAAATTATTCATCAGACCTCATACTCAGATTGTGATGACCCCGACATACATATCATTATTGCATATTGAATTATTATATGAATTTGCATGTTTATGTGCTTAATTTTGCTTGTATCTGTTTGATTATGAAATATCTGTTAGAATACGTGCTTTGAATTAGAAATTAAAAGACTTGACGAATTCAGAAACAAAAATTGACGAGTTCAATAGACTAATTGGAATATTTAGAACCATTTGAGACATTTAGTTAAAATTCGATTCAGATTAAATTAATTAGGATTAATCAATTTAAATTGAGTAGGATTAATTAATTAGCTTAATCTAATCCTATGCATATATATGAGTTAAGTAGAGTCAGAACCCATTTAGATTACATCCTTGTGCTCAAAAATCTGGTAGAACTAGTCTAGAGAGAGAGTGTGACCATTTTAGAGAGAGAAAGAGAGAGAGAGAGAGAGTTCAAGAATTGTGTAGGAGGAAGAAGAACCAAGAAAGTTCAACTAGCACATCATCAATTCAAGTTCTAGGTGAGTAATTTACCATGAATTCTTGTAGAAAATCCAACTAAGAACTAAATTCACGAAGTATATAGGATCATTTGCATGTAATTGAAAGGAATTGTCAAGAAAATGATAGAATGAGCTTGAAAATGGTGAGAATCGATTAATTATGGACATGCATGCATAATTCATTATTTTGAGTTTGGTTTTCCAAAAATTCTTACATGCATGAGGTTCATACTTGTTTTTAAGAGTTCTTCATGAATTTACACTCAATATTTTATATATAAACATTTTGAAAGAAAAGAATTGAATTCTTTGCATGCATGGTTGGATTATGAAGTTTTGAGCTTGATTTTGAGAATTGACAATGATTTTGAGCAAATGATTTCAAATTGGTTATGTTTATATGTTTTCCATAGAGTTTCCATACATTTGGTCCAGCCATGCAAGCTTTTAAACTTTGAACTTGTGTTTTGGAACTTAAATTCTGTTATGGAAAATCCAGAATTTGACCTCACCGCTCGAGCGATGAAGTCGTCGCTTGAACTCACTTAGCGGGTATCAAGTATATTTGTGAAGGCATTGCACATCACTTGAGTGACCAAATATCCGCTCAAGCAAACTCGCCTTTCATTGCACTTGGCTCGAGCGACTATCAAGCCTAGATTTTGAGCATCCATAACTTTTGCAAACCATGCAGACCGTTCGAGCGACCAAAGGTGCGCTCGAGCGAACTGCCTTGTTTCAGCAACTTTTGAAAAATACTTTAAAGTGCATACTTCATTCTCATGATCTTTTTGGCATTCTCAAACATTGTTTAGACATCATTAAAGATGAAACAAGCTAGAAACACACTTAAGGGAATTGAATTAAGATATAATGTTTGTTCAGTCAATGCGTTTCAATGTGTATTACTATGTGTTTTGTGTAAGTTGATCACCCGAAGCATAACATCAGTACAAGCCCACTGTGAGTAATATCTCTACAAAGATATATTTGAAAAGTATTTTGAATTGTTCAAGAATAATATTTTGAAATCTTATTTTGTTATCTATGAATGAATGTCCGTTTTGAAAATGTATTCGTAACATCCTTTAGTGAGGCCCTTGCCTGGGGGACATAATATAATACTATGACCCATAGATTAATTGAAATACAGAGATCTCTAATGTTAGACCTTAGTGATCCATATTGAATTACTAGTTGTGGTTTTATTGATTGACCATTGTGGTTCCATCAAATTGACCTTAGTGGTCCCATTGGCTTCGACATATTGATATATTGTTACTCTATTGGATGTTACCACGTATGATGATTTGCTATAGGTATTGTTAAAACAGATGATTGATATGAATTTGACATATGAAATGTTTAGAATTGAAAGATATGTTTTATGAATGTTGGACTTCATTCGTTAACCTTTTATATTGATGTTACTCACTAGGTTCCAGCTCACCCCTCTGCCATATATATATATATATGTAGGTGAGCATGTGGATCGACAGGCCTAGAGTTACTTTGGGAGTCCACCCTCTTTTGTGCAGCTGAATGAGAAGTGCCTCCGTGATGGGGTGTAGCTTGGTCTGTAGAGGAGACAAGCTTTTGTCAACCTTTTGTTTGATCTTTTGTTTTGTTGTTGGTGAACATGTAATATATATGTTGTGAAAGTTGAAGTTCAAGTTGGTTGTATATATTATTATGAATGAAGAATGAAGTTAGTTATTTATGGAATTTGTCATGTAAGCACCGCTCAATGAATATATTTATATTTTGTTATTGCTTCCGCTAAGCCCCATTTATAATTATATGAATCGATTTTGTTATTGAGGACAAAGGTAATTTAGGATTACTGGCCAGTCATGACCAAAACCTCTAGATGCAGGTTAAGGTCGTGAGATAGATACTCCAGTACAAAACAGTAAAGTTGAGCACAAACAAAGGCACATCCTTGAAATAACTCAATTTCTTCTCCTTACTTTGAGTGTTCGTGTTATTTTTAGTGTGAGGTCGTCCTGATAGTTTTATACGTCCTTAATCATGCCCAAACCACTTCATTTTTAAGCCTCACTTATGAAAAGTTGTTTGGTCAAGTTTGTAATTACTCTTTGTTGCATGTCTTTGGTTCAGTATGTTCAATTCTTTCTAAACGGAACCGTAGTAAACTCAACGCACACTCTATCCTATGTATTTTTAGGGTTAGGACTGAGAAAGGATATTGGTGCCATGATCTGGTATCAAAAAAATTGAATGTTACTAGTCATTTTTTTCTCGAACACATCCCATTATTTAACAGGTAGATTCATTGTCCCATAGATCCTATGATAATGAATAACGTTTTTTATCAAACACTATTAAAAAACGTCACTAATTATAAAAAGTCTTAGTGAGGAGTTTATCTCTGCCCTTGATGATTCTGAGCTTCTCTCTTCAACTTGAGATTCTTTTGAGTCCTAGTTCTTCATGTATCCCTTCTTTTCTTTGGTCTACTCTTTGTAGGAAGGCTCCAGCACCTCCCTCCCTCATTCTAATTCCATCGACATTGGCCATCACAACGCTGTCCCTTGCGTGCTCATACTCCACTAGTAAGATTTGGTTTCTTTAATACTTACCTTTCTTCTTCTTACAGTGCTTTCCTATCCTCTATCTAACTTATTTTGAGCCTAATCCTAATTGGGTTGGGTTAATGTAATGCATGATGAGTTGCATGTTCTCAAGGAGACTAGTACTTGGGTTGTTCGTCCCAGTTTCTTCTAGTAAAAATCTTATTGGTTGTAAGTGGATTTACAAAGTCAAACCCACTATGATGGTTATCTTGAGTGACACAAGGCCAGATTAATTTTAAAGGATTTCTCTCGAAACAATGGGATTGATTACGAAGAAACATTTGCTCCCATGGCTAAGATGACCACTGTTTGAACTTAAATTTTCATTGTTGTCTTCAATCAATGACTTCTTTTTTAGAATGTTAAGAATTCATTTCTCAATGGTTCTCAATAAAGAAGTTTATGTGTCCTCTACAGTTTTCTCATCCCAATGACTATATTTATCATCTTTGACGTGCTCTTTATAGTTTGAAGTAGACTACTCTTGTATAGCACGAGCGGTTTTAGCTGATTGCCACTCGTAATAGTTTTCATCCAAGAGTTTATGATTTTTCTCTTTTTATATACCACAATACTAGTGTTGTGGCTATTGTGTTATATATAAGTAATATGATTTATTATTGGTTCCACCTTTGCTAAAATTGTTGAGGTAAAGCAATTTGAGATGAAAGATTTGAGTCTTCTACCATATTTTTTGGGAATTGAGTTTGGCTTCTTTGCCCAATGAATATCTTTCATTCTAGTCTAAATATGCCAAAGAGTTTATTCATTGTGTCAGCCTCAATGATGACAAGGTCATTGATATTCACATTAAGCTACATAACAAATTTCTTGATTCTGATGATGTCCCTTTGATGATCCTACCATGTATCGTGAATTGGGTGGTTGTTTGGTTTATCTCACTGTAAAGTATATTTTGTTATTATATATATATATATATATTTATATTTATTTATTATAACAGCTATTTTAGTCATTAGATTACTTAATTTTTAATCCTTATTCCTTTATATAAAGATGTGATTATGTCAGTTACAAATACACAATTCTTTTCTCCCATATTTAGCATTGGGTAATAGGTATCACCATGTATACAGGAAGTTGCAATTACTATAAAACAGGAAAAATAATGAAGCACATGCATCTATAAAGAAGACAACATATAATACATCAGAAATTGTTCTAAAGACAAAGATGATTGAACACACAGCACAATGAATGGTATAGGAACTGGTGCTGCCTAAATCAACCAAAACTTCCAACAATGAGTTTCTCTATAATAAAATGAAGAAGTTTTGTATGATAATGCTTAAACCTTACGGAAGATAAAATTAAGGTTTCTTAACAACATTCAAAACAATGTTCTTAACATATTATATGCAAGAGCAAAAGCATATGGATGGTTCATGACACAAAGAGGCTAATGAGGCATACTTGTGTACTGTTGTTATTCTCTCTGAACTTCTCTTCCCATTCTCTTTGAGCTTTTTCCTCCTCTTCATATTGCCCTATGAGTTCCGCCTGGTGTTCCAGTGCTCTTTCCATGTCTTTGTTACTTCCATGAATATTCAAATAATTGCTAGCATTAGTTACTGGTCTTTGATTTTCGAAATCCCCTGAAAGTGGACCTTCAAGTAAGATTTTTGAATCTGGCTTTTCAGAACTTTCTGTGAAGATCTCAGGCCCAATGTCAGAGAAAGTAGAACCTTCTGAGCAAGTAGCTCCTTCTGAGCATGTAGCTCCTTCTGAGTATGTAGCTCCATTGTCTTGACAAGATAACATGCTACTGTCAATTTGTGACTCTTCAACTGCTGATCTGACAACCCAAACACTAAAACATTATACGTAGCTGTGTGCAGAAATAGTGTGTATATAGACATGATGAGAAACTTCATTGGTACAAAGAGATGAAAGGACCTAGGAGATCTACAAAAGTGAAAAAAATGACCCAATCAGATCTAAAAGAGAGGAGGCAAAAAAAAAGTGAAATGTTTCATTCTGAGTACAAAGCAACCATTCCCCCATCTTTTGGCTGCACCACAGTTTTCAAAACAAATTTTACAAACTGAGAAGGTGATATAGAATTGCTATGAGCAAAAAAAGGTCAATATTTAAATGTTCTCCCAGTGGGAATGTCAAGACCCCCATTTTGTCCCTCTACGCACTTCTTTAATATAACATAGATGCATGCATGCAACACCAAAAACTAAAACACAGTTCTTTCAAAGATATAAAGAAAAGACCAACAGTTAACTGTCTTAGGTTCTTAAAAGAAGAGAAAAACTGACATTGTCTCTCTCCGTCGTATCTGGCGACAAGATTTACCAACACGGCGTTTAAGTGATGCAGATGTAGTGAATGCAAAAGTGTGTTGCCTTCTAGTGGAAGAATCCACGTACTTCTTCTCATGGGTATGTGGAGAATCCTTTCCACTTTTCCAAGACAAGCTTCTACCAGGTAAACGAGACGATTCAAGATCATAACCAGAAAATTCATCCATATGATTTCCCCACGCCTTCGAACTCACTGATCTTTCCTCCTCGTTTGGGAAACTATTACCAACTTTAGACTCACAATGGGTGGCTTCCTGGTCAGAGCTTGAGTCAAATTCTTCAGAGAATTCACTTATCCCATGGTTATTCAAAATGGAAAGAACTTCAGATGTTGCCTTTTCTGCCTTCTTTCTTTGGAGACAGACTAACTTAAGATGTTCCTCCAGCTCCACTACCTATGGTGCATGCATAACCAACAATGTAAAAGTACGAAAGGAGGATTGTAATATGCACACGCACAAACACTGACGCAAACGGAGAGAGTTTGAGAGTTTTGCACTTGCAGTTGTGGATCAAACAATAAAATAACTCAATGCACTTCAAAATAAACAATTAACAAAACTAACCCTCTTGGCCAATTCATCAGCTCTCTGTCTTGCAGTCCTTGAGACAGATCTTTCAGACAGCAACCGCACCCGGAGGAACTCAATTGTCATTCCAGCGGAATCTCCCATGCCACTATTATTCCTATGTAACAACATTCCATAATTCAGGACTCATCAAAGATAGAAAAGAAGAAATAGATTGCAAACCCTAAATTGAGAGTTTAAAAAAGCTGTCCATCCCAAAATTAAGGACCAGTTCATCTGCAACTTTAAATGGACCCAAAATGATTATCCTCTAGTTTGTTTGTAAAAGGAGAGACAAATGGGAAGAAACTGCTTAAGAAAGGAAGCCATTTTCAAATTTTAAGCATTTCCTTTGCTTAACTCTCTCTGCTCATGAAAGCCATACACAGCCTAATTGTATTGAGTACATAATTAAATCAAGGCATTACCGAAACATTTCAACTTCTTCAACTATCCCAAAAAATCAACCAATATTTGCAGTGAAAGTAAAAGGAAAACCCAATTCACCGACTTGAGTGTAGCACTACAAACAATCTAGTGCATGGAAAAATGCAAAAAAAAATAAATAAATAAAATAAAAATATAAAAAATGAAAGATACTGAACCCCAGAAAGCAAAATCCTCAGTGAAAGGAGCCTCATGATCCAATATTTCCATCCCTTCTTTTCCTCATTTTCTCAGGAAGCAAACAGAAGCAAATCCAATTCCCAACAAGAACTACATTGAAATTATTACTAAACCCAGGCTCATAAAATTTCTAAAACTGTCATCTCCACAGTATGCACAGAAAAATCCCAAGAATTTGTGAAACTATGCAGAATTTATCAACCAAATAGTAATTGAAATATTAAATAAATAAAAAAAAAACACATAAACTAGAATTCAAAGCACAAATAGCAAAGAAAACCAAAACATGACACGATCATCACCTCTGATCTCGATCTGGGTCTTGCTGATTTGTAAAATTCTGCAGTATTCAAAGAAAAAAAAAAAAACTTCAAAACTCCAAAGAGTCGAGGCTGCGTTGAGAGCAAAGCACGAGTAACAAGAAATCATGGTGATTTAAGTGAGGATCAAAACACAAATATTGAACAAGATTACAGTAGAGAAAATTGGGAGAATTACCTTCAGAGAGGAGTGCTAAAAATCGTAAAGAGTAACTAGAGAGAGTAGGAGAGAGAGAGCGCTTCGTAGAGAGAGTAGGAGAGAGAGAGAGGGCTTCGTTGGGAATGATATAATAGGAAGCTTGTGTGTTAAGATCAGCACCAGAAACAGAGGATAAATGCAAGGAATTGGTGGCCACTGTTGTGCAGCCATTTGGCCCTTTTCGGGGTTCATTTTCATAATCCGAACTGTTCGTATTTTAAAATATATTAAGTAGAACATACTTATAAAAAATTAAGATAATCGAATATCGTTTAGCCATTCATCTACTAACATTTGTATTCATTTTAATATTTTAAATTACAATTGTTATTTATTTTTGTAAATACATATGTAAGTGGATGAATAGGTAAACGATATCCGATTAACTTGATTTTTTACACTTATGTTCTACTTGATATATTCTAAAATATGAATAGTTCAGATTATCAAAATGAGTCCTGAAAAAGGTCAAAATGGCTGCACAGCAGTAGCTGCTGTGCACCCCCACACAGCAGCCACCCAAAATTCAATCGGATGTTTGTGACAATTGTGTTTTGGTGGTGGGGTTGCCCTTTGTTTTCTTTCTTTATTCTTCTACTTTACTAGACGTGCATAAATTGTCCAAGAACAATAATCATTTTGTTTTTATTTTTTATTTTAAAATTACTAATTAAAATTTATTTGGTATATTATTTTAAGGTATTTTCTTATAAATCATATTTTTAATTAGTCGAAATTAATTTTTTAAGAATAACTTTGTGGGTAGAAATACTCTCTCAAGTTTCATAATAAAAAAGGTTGTTCCCTTGCTAGTGGCCGAAGTTTTAGGTTGTTACCGAATTCACGTCGACCTCGACAATCATTTTTGCATAGTTGGAAATGGGGGTATGAAATTTAAGTCTATTCTAATTTATTTTTTGTGTTCTATTAAAATCCTTATGGTGCATTTTTCATGTGAAATTTCCATACCTTTGTGACCTGTAGTTTGCAATTTGTGTATGTGGATATAGAAGAGGGATTCTCGTGAGTATGGTTGAGAAAGTGGAGGTGGAGGTGGGTGGTAATGATACAGTGAGTGAATGTTTTGTAAGGGGTTGGAATTATTCAATTGTTGTATAAGAGCTATATGACAATAAATTTAGAACATGTGAAATGATATAATTATAATTATTTGATCAATTTTAATTTTTTATGAATAATTGACACATAAGAACTTAGAAGATGAAAGAATTGAATCATCAAAGTAGTCCATGTATTGAGCTCACAAGACTAAATAGTAAGGTTCAATTATTTTTCAAAATTAGAGACTCTCATATTTAACAACGCATTGGTTTATTGAGTTTTAAAAAGATCATAGGGCATTGTTTGGGAAGTTGGGTTGGTTTTTTAATTTTTTTGACTATTTTAGCCCGAGCTGAAAGGTTTGTTTGGATTATTTTTTTTTTAACTTTTTTGACTTTTGTAAAAGAAAAAGCAAAATGATTATTGTTTGAATGTAGCCTAGTTTTTGCCTTTTTGTAACTAATTTAGCCAAAAAAAATCCAAAAAAACCCAATTGCCAAATGAGGGCATACAACAATAGGAAAATGTTAGGGATTCTAAATATTTTACCACCATTTTTACTAAATGTTCCGCATAGGTGTGGGATCCACACCATGTGGATCTCATGGGAGTCCCACACCCATATGAGATATTTGGTAAAACATTTAGGGTCTTTAGGATTACACTACAACAATAACATACTTAACTGGAACATTTGATATTTGTAAAAACAACAATAGAATGACACTGAACACAATTGTAATCACTTCCTCAAGGGAAATTATCGAGTAGCTTCAAATTATTATGTGACAATATTTATGCAGTACTCTTAATAAAGGGCAAATTACCAAGAAGTACTTTTTGAAAAAGGTGTGGCCTATTTAGTTCCACAACCTTTGGTTTATACTCAAAAGTCCTATAATGTTTTTTTTTCTTCTTCTGTGCCTTTGTTCTTCTCTGTCTCTTTCTCTTTCTGATTTCCGACGATTATCGACGGGCAACCACGTCTTGCTTCTTCTCTTTCTCTTTCTCTTTCTGATATATAATCACCGGTAACCGACGACTACCATCGATTGTGATTCACCAGCAACCATCGACTCCTTACTTCACATTCACTGACAGTAAAGAAGATATATTTCGGACGAAAAAGATGAGTAGATCTACTTCAGATCCGGCTAAATCTAAACAAAAAATAGTTGCCGGAGTACAATCCTCTCTCTATATCTGCCTCTTCCTTGGATCTCTTAATTTTTCTACATTTTCTCTATTATACATTTCTCTTTTTCTATTTTAATGGAGAAAATTTTCAAGTTCTGGATAGGTTGTTTTCAAGTTTTAGTTATAGGAGGTGAAAACTGTAAAATTTTGAAGTTTTAATTTTTTTGGTGCTAAAATGAACCATGGTTTAAAACTGCAAATTTTTACAATTTCATAACATGTTTTTCAGTTTAATTAATAAAAATAAATGTTTAATAGATTTTTTCTTTGAAACGATAACATTTTACAGTTTCAAAACTTGCTTTTCAGTTTAATTAATATTGGAGATTATTTACTTAAACCCTACAAAAATTAAAAAATAACATATATTTTTTCCCATTGTTACTTTTTTTGTCGTTACATTTTTTTTTTCTTTTAATTTATCAATATGTAGCACATTTTGTTATATTTTTTGCTCTAATTTCTTCATTTATTCTTTTTTTTTTTGGACAATATTTTGGACATTCCAATGATTTTCCAACGATGTTCTTAACGTCCAGTGAACATTCTGGACATTCGGGCGACTTCCATTGATATTCAGAATACTCCGGTGAACTTCCGGCGATTTCCCAGTAATGTTGAACATTTTGGTGAGTTTCCGGTGACCATTTAGCGGAAGTCCAATGGTAGTGGGATGTAGCAACATCTGTAAATTTTTTATTTTTTTTTTTAAAAAAAGAAGATTTTTTTGGCAATAATTAAAAATATATGGGACTAATTGAACTTTGATAAGACTTATTAGTAAGTTCCCTTAATAAATGACAAATGCAAAACACACTAGCTGAGTTAGCCATTGTGTAATATCCCTGTCCCATAGTATGATAATTGGTCCTTAATATGAATATGATTATGTGTTTGATATGATTGTGTGTGCCATTATATGAAAATATGTGATTTTGAATTTCTATCTGTTCACCGTAGGAATATCTGTTTGATGATTTGCGTTGGAAGTTAAATTGAAGGCCTTATCGGCCACAGAACCCGAAATTGATTATGCCATTATGATTGGCATAATTTTTAGAGCCTACGGTGAAATTTAATTTGGAAATTAATTCAGATCAGATTAAATTGATTTAATTAATCATGAAGTGCTCAATTGCCTATTATTAAATTAATGTGACTTAGTGGGGCACTATGTACTCAAACATCCTCTTTGTTATTCTACTTGGCTGATTCTAACTCAAGAAAAAGAGAGAGGGGTCGGCTAGAGAGAGAGAAAGAAGGAGAGTTGGGTGTTTGGCTCAATTTTGTGAAGATTGGAGGATTAAACTCAAGATTTTGCCATAGATTGGGAGAATTAAGCCTCTAGGTAAGTGAGTGCATGAATTGTAATTAGTAATTTTGTGAATTGAAGGTTGAAAAATGATTAAGAACATGAATTAAATTGTTTTATGAGGAGATTGAGTTGTATGTGTTGAATTTAAAATCAATAGATGCATGCATGTAGGAAATTACTATGAATTTTCATATTTGAACACAATGTGTATAATCTATGTTGAATCTTGTTTGAAATCCATGTATTTGATCATCTCTTCACCAATTAAGTTGATATGAATGAATATTTCTCACATGCAAGAGTAGATCATGGAGGTATGAGCTTTGCATGTTTGAATTTCATGTGTTGGTGATGAGTTTGGGTTAATTTGAGGCATGAATGTAAGTAATTCAAGAAATTGAGCTTCACTGTATAAGTCTTGGGTTCGACTGACTTAAACTTGTATGATCCTGTATGTACGTGTTCTGTTTAGTATATATTTTGATGTGAGTTATTAACATATAAATGTTTGGAATGTTATGGTGTGCATATAAGCACAGCTCTATGGACAAAGTTTTAATTTGCTTCCGTTGGCCCCTTTACTCTGATGAGTTTTTTTTATTTGGTTTAGGCCGTAGTTAATCTCGTGATTACTGCCGGTTATGGCCTTAACCCATAGGGCGGGTTCGGGTCGTGACACCTTGTTTGCAACTACATAATATATGATTACATATTGTGGCTCGGTTGAGTCTGGGCTGGTTAGGTACAATATAGAGAAGAGAGGTTGAGATGCTTGTCTTGGTCTAATCTCAAAACCAAAAATCTTCATCTCTAGATTAGCCCATTGCATTAAGTTTAATGCAGCCCAATGCACACACAAAAAAAGGCCTAAAACACAGAGAGATGTGCAATATTTGGGACTTTTAATAGTTTACAAGAATAAGAATATCAAACAGATGCAATCCAAAGAATTTCTGAAAAAAAACAAAACAAAAAAACAAAATGACAGGGGAAGAAATTCCGAATGGTTTCTCCCAATTTTCTACCGAAATAGACACAACATTCCTATTAGGGAATTGGCTTCCCTCAGTGATCAGACTAGAAAGATGTTGTTAAGTTCCTGAGAGCCTACCATGGGTTTCCGTTTCAAAATCGCAACTGTTCAATGTGTAAAACTTGTAAAGTACTATATGCCTACAAAAAATCACGTTGATCAAATATCGATAGCTACGTGATCAAATCAAATTTTTGTAAGCCGATCTATTTTTCACCATTTATATTTTTCATACAAAACTGATTTGATCACATAATCATCGATATCCGATCAACGTGATGTATTACAGCCACATAGTACTCAACGAGTTCTACATATTCGAACGGTTCAAATTACGAAATGGAACTCATAGTGAACCCCACAAATTCAATAATACCTTTCAATCTATGATTGAATTAGAAAGAAGCCATTCTGTTCCTATTAAATCTTGTGTGGGCCATCATGTTAACTGTTTTTAATTTTCTCTCTTTTACCTCAAATATAAAT